TCTTCGAGTCGGACGTAGCCATCTGGGTGGCATCGGGCCAGACGATATCGAATCTCGAGTAGATGTGGGGGATCGCGAGATTGTGGAGGTTTGAGTTGGTCAAGGCGAGCGAGGTAAGGTCATTCGTGTGCGTGATCTGGAAATCTCAAATGTCAGTACGGGGGGACAGACCGAGATGTTGGATAGCAGCTTAGCTTGCCTCCTTAATGATCAAGCGCAATATGTCCACCGGCAACTCGAGAAGAGTCAGCTTCTTGCCTGACTTGCTGGGCGCGACAGCATCCCATTCTTTATCCTTGCCCTTCATCAGCTTGCGCATGACGACGGCGGGGTCTACCGAAGCATCGGGGACGCCATCGTGGTCGACGGATGCGGGGTGGCCTGGGACGTCGTTGTGGTAGGGAAGCTCGACCTCGTTCGGATGCGGCTCGGCGGCTTGATGGGTCATTGGATCGCTGGTCTGCAGGGCTGGGGCCATGATCGCGAGGGGCCTCAGCGCATGCTTCGGATTGCGATGGCAGCGGTTGTCGATTGCTATTGTAGGCTGCTACAGCTACAATAGCGTGGTTTCTCTCGGTTTCCAATCGCGTAATATGTTGTAAGGTACTGTCGGGGTGAGGAGTGAGTCGTCAGAGGAAGCGATCGTGGGTATCTTGGCTCGGATGCGGAAGGCGCGTTTTGGGCTTGTTCTTTTTTCGTAAACCCGCGGATGGGTCAGAGAACAGGATGGTAAAATGGATTAAAGAAAATACCGGGCTGAAAGAAGATGATTGGGAATGCTTCGTTGAGGGAATCAAAGAAAGGCTGGCGACAGCAGAGGTCTCGCGAGACCAATCATGTCATGTCAGAAATGACGGACATGGGGTGTCATGAAATTTCGTTCGTTGCGGCTCTGTGGTGAGGAGGAAGCGGCGACGGCGACGGCGGTAATTGTGGTAGTTGCGGCGGAGGTAGAGGTGGTGGTGGTGGTGCGTTGGTTGCCGGTGCAGTCGTCAGTCGTCGATCCGGTGGTGGACGTGGTGGACCAGCTTAGGTTGGCCAAGGTCTTTCCCAATGTGCTCCGCGCTAAGGTGGGTGGTCCGGTCACACGTTCCCCGGATATCGTGCAAAGTAAGGTAGTGTACGTAAGGAAGGTATGTACCCTTTCTCAACTGCTGTTCTTCCCTCTCTGAGTACCTTGACCATAAGAGATTGGGGTAAAAAACTCCGACTTCTCCGACCAGGAGTGAATTTTCTTCCCAATCCGATTGGTCAAGGGAAACAAGAGGCAGGGTATAGACAATTTGCCTTTCAAGGGTCTCCTTCTTGCTTGCTCTGGGCGATGGAAGTTGTTGGGAAGCAAATGGATACATACAAGGAAGAATGGTGTTGCACCTGAGAGAGAGGGCAGTCAGTTGGTAAGGTAGGTATCCATACCTTAAGGTACTTCAAAATCAGAGTAACCCGGCGGCGGCAGTACGGATTTAGAAGAACTCGGAAAGGTAGGGGTATATTTGTCGGGTCCCATAAGTATTCGGTCCCGCACCTTCAGTTCCAGATTTGGGGGCGGAACCCCAGGATCATCTTGCAACGTGTGGTTCCTGACGTTGCCGGCAAGGGCATTTCACTTGTTGGACCTGTTCTCTTAGTCAGTCACAACCTAATAGGCTAAAACTCCTTTCTTTGAGACGGCCGATATCTCACACAGACAGGCCTGCCATGCGAATGAGATAGATTAAATGCAACTTGCAGGCTCAAATTCTCCGACGGCTATGGAGGAAGACGCGCATACGAACACATATACATATACGCATGCAAATAGGGCAGACAGCTCCTGACCCCTTCTTCTGCCGTCGGATCATGTATCCATATTCTGTCCCCCGTCGTTTTCATGGGGCAATACATAGGAAAGATGTGTGCACCGTAGCCGATGATCCAAGCATGGAGTGGCGTTACTCTCTCTCTCTCTCTCTCTCTCTCTCTCTCTCTCTCTCTCTCTCTCTCTCTCAGTTCTTCCAAATTGAGCGACTCAACTTAACCCAGCTCAACTCAGCCCAGCCTGTTTAAGCTTACAACTGCTTCACCTCAAGCTACGCCATGACGTCCGGATCCTGGTTCCTCAACGACTTCAGCTCGCTGCTACATGCAGCTGCTGCTTGGTCCTGGCGGTACTGACGATAAGGATTTAAGCTTTTTTTTTTTTTTTTTTTTTTTTTTTTTTTTTTTTGCATGATCTGCGTACTATCCATCTTCAGTTGACACCCGAGGGGAATACAGGTAGTCGGGGGGTACTGTTTCCAAGATAGTGCTAAGTAAGGAACTGTGCAATCTTTTTGGTGACCGGCCGCATTGACAGGGATTCCGCCTATTGCTTTTGGTGTATGGCTCAGAGTGAAACCGAAATTCGGCAACTGTTATCGCCGACGACGTGACTGGCCCCCACCACATACTGAGGTGCTTTAAGCATGGAAGACAGAACACTTCCATACCTACCTAAAGGCAGCATATAGAAAACAAGCCTGGCAAGCAACAGTGATGAACCAAAGGATGGAATTAACTTCCCATGTTTTGACATGACGCGGACGATACAAGATAAACCGCCATTGCAGTAAGGATCAGAACGGATACTTTGTACGCTTCACCCCGCAACTCATCTTCGACGGACCCCAACAAGCTGGTCAGCAGGTCCCCTTCGCCTCGCCTCGGCTCAGTTGAAGCTTTGCGTTAGAGAGGTCACGACCCCACGACCCCAGGGGAAAAGAACGCGACGGTGACGTTTCCCGAGCCATGGAGGGGTCATTCCGGCCTCCCGCCGCTCCATTCCTATTGCATAGAAACAGCCCAAGAAGCGTGTTCCGAGGGGCCGCGTGCTGTGACCGACCCCTCTGTGTTGCTTGACGGTATTTGTCGTCGTCTTTGAGTTGGGCAATCCGTGACCACAGAGATGAACGGAACCTGCCTGTCTGTCTGCCTATTAGGCAACCCTATGACCCTTTCTCTTCACAACCACAGTCAACCCCGTAAACATCCAAACACGTCGAAGTCAACTATGGCGATGCCACGGTCACCTCTTCTTCTCTAATGTGCCACCTGTTCCGATTCTATAAACACCGAGTGACCACGTTGCATCCACCCTCCGACAAAGAGATAGAAGAGGAAGATAGAGATAATACCGTGTCTCCTCTGGCTTGCTGTCGGCCAAAAAAGAAAAGGTACATTATCTCGACCGTTTCCCCCCTCTCCCCTCCTTCTCCCACCCCCCGCCACAACCCGCGCGTGTTGTCAATGGTACCTCGCCTGCCCCTACCTACCTTACCTCACCTATAAGGTAACCTTCCACCTTCCCTGACCTTCCTAAGCAGCCGGAAGGGACCCCTCTCTTTCCTGCCCCCTCCCTCAACCCAATTGTTGCTCAACCCAGAAACGCTATTTATTATGCGCTCTTACCGCCTTGACTCTGCCGTCTGACTGCAAATCCAAACGAAACAACCGCATTATCGCCAAATAAAAACTCGTCGCGAGCGTCGTCTTACATTTTGAAAAGAAACAGAACATCCTACCCTAGTCATCTTCCCGAAGTAGCTCTCATAAGCTAGAGCAAACTGGAATCCACTCCTCCGAAGGTCCCTGCCCGAAGCAAAATACTCCACCAAGAAGCATCGCATCCAACGACTACAAACAGCACTGTGGCCAGTATTCACCTTGTCAAGCCGCGCATCACCTCCACGAAATCGAACACAACGATCGAACGATACGAGAACAGCATTTGATCGGCCGACGGCGAACCTGTGCATCCGCAAACGCCATACATAACATCGACACCGAAGCCCCCCCCCCCCCAAACACATCAATCATGGCGGCCTTCGTCACCAACCTCTGGGAGTCAATCTTCACCCCAGGCCCAACACCGACTCTCCTTCGCGCAACCAACGCAACCTTTGCCGCCCTCCAGCTCCTCCTCGGCGTCCTCCTCCTCGCCACCTGGAGCATCCACTTCGTCATCCTCTCCTTCCTCAGCGCGGGCCTCTGGTACGCTATTAACTGGTTCGTCGTCGAGCTGGCTGAACACGCAGAGAAAGAGGCCAAGAAGACGTATGGTACCGATACATCCGCCGGCGGAGTAGCAGGAAGCAGCGCGGCAGGGGCCAATACTCAAGGAACGGATGATAGCGACACCGAAGTTGAGGGCGGCGCCGTTGTCGGCGGCGTAAGGGGTGGCGCTCGCGGGAGGAAGGGCGTCGTGGGCGGTAGCAGCCAGATCGAGACAGCTGCTGAGCAGCAGCAAGCGGCCGACTTGAAGCGTCGTACCGCCGTTACCGCCGCCGCCGAGTCTGGGGCTGAAGATGCCACTAACGGGGGCACGCAGTCGAGCGTGAGCACCGAGGATGAATGGGAAAAGGTTTCAGAGAACGAGAACGAGAAGGACAAGTGAATGAGCGTTGAGGCGCGACGACGATACGCTTGACCAACACCACTCGCCGAGCGATGCACACCACTCGAATATTATACCACTATGGAGGAGGAGGACGACGAGAAGGGAGCGGGGAGTTGTACGGAGAGACTGATGTTCGGGACGCATCGCGCGACGAGAGATTTGAGATACCCTTGAGCAAGCGTCGAGACATGCGCTACCACTGTCCGGACCGGACTTGTACATAGGGCTTTGGCAGCATGCTCCATTATGGGCAGCTCCACGTACACATACTTATGAAGACAGCGATTCACACCGCCGGTAGTAGCCTCATTCATCCGTGACGCCGAGTGTGTTCATCGAATGCCATGCTGGAACATGGATCCTTTACATTCAACAAAAGCCCATAGCTTCGAGATGTGTCATTCCCTCGAAATCCTTGAAACGAAGCCAAAAGCCCTATGCGTTTTATCCCACACATGATCTAATGCAAGAGAGCTTACTCTCTGCCCCCCCTCTCCGTAACGCCATCCCATATCCCCTACGCTCCCTTTGCCCTTACAATGATGAAATCCGTACTGTTCCTTCTGTTTCTACTCGTACATTGTACTCAGAGATACTTGAGCTTTCGCGTGGCGAACGCGGCCACCACCGCACAAATAGCACCGATGAAGAGACACACGGCAATGGCGTTGGGACCGTCGGTGTTGTGCTGCTCGTGCTCGGGTGCGTCCGACAGCTCGGGGCTCTTGCCAGGCTCTAAAATGGTGAAGACAATGGTGCTTATAAAGGTTCCGATAAACTGCGGCAGGGTCGTGTAGATGTTGAGTATGCCAAAATAGATGCCCGACAGCTCGCCCGTAGACGATGTCGTCTGCTGGCCACCCTCATCCGGTCCATGTTCCAGATGGAGTGGCTGGTCCTGGCCGAGCGTGGGCAGCTCAATGTTGGAGCCGTTTGATAGGCGGCGGTAGGCTGCCGTCCCGCTCCCTCCTTCGCGGGCACCACTAAGCTTGTTTACCTCTACACCGAGAAAGGTCGTCGGCGCCCACATGGCGATCGTCCAAGATAAGCCGCAGAAGGCAACGAGGAAGGTTGCGAAGCGGAAGCTTTGCGCAAAGGGGGCCAGGAACATGGCCGCGGCGAACATAAGATGGCCGCATATCCAGGCGGTCATGAGGTCAGGCTTGTTCTTGTTGAATCGTTCAAGAAATGGCGCAATGGCTTGGGGCGGGCGAGCCGTAAAATTGTCATCGTCTGGCGATTTAACAACCATGGGCAGGAGCCAGGCGCCTATGAAGGTGATGGTCGAGTAGATGACCAGCGCCAAACTACCGATGCGACCAATGTCGCCAAGGGCATCTTTGGAGTCTTTTCCCTCTGCCGGAGCGTCGTATCGGAAGTACGTCTCGCCAACCCAGGTGGTGCTGTAAAACAAGAACGGAAACCAGCCGATCCACGACCAGAACTGGGCCCAGCAGATGGCCTGGATCCGAGGGGGAAGATGGAGCAGCGTCGACCAAATTTGGCGGAAGACCTTGAACCGCCCAGTGGCTTTGCGGGGATCGTGCCTTGTCGACACCAAGACCCGCTCATTGACAGCCCAACAGGTCACTCCGGAAGAGAAGAGCATCAAGAACGTGGCGATGAGCGTGAGCTGCTTGAATTGCGAATCGCCCATTGTCTTTCCAAATATACCGACTAGGTCGATGGCACCGGCTCCATAGCCCAGCATGTGTCCAATCGCGGACATTCTACTAGCTTTGTGGGGATTAGCGGACGGTATGCAACCTGGGGTGATGATGCAAGCTTCACTTACACCACGCGGCGCCAGTCTGTTGCTTCTCAATGGGGAGAGTATCGACGATCAGGCTTCTTGCGCAAGACATCACTGTACAGGAGTCAGCTTCAGAAATAACGAGAGGCTTGCACGCAGGCCTAATCTAACGCACCAGCATTGATGGCGAAATCCACAAAGTAGATGGCCACCACTGCGAGGATAATTGTGAAGATTCGCGCAGTCTCCTTGTCCGAGACGAACATCTCGACAATTTCTTTTGTGAATCCCAAGGTCAGCAGGCTGATTGCGACGATGATCGACCCTATCACGATAAATGGTCGCCGCCTGCCCCATTTCGACTTGGATTCGTCCGCGATAGCTCCCACAATGGGCTGGACTACGAGTCCCGATAATGGCCCTGCGATCCATACCAGCGAGGTGTTGCTCTTTGTGAGGCCGAGATTCAATAGGTATGGTGTACAATCTGTTGTCAGGGTGGATTAGCACGCGAAGACCGGCGATTGTGGATGTACAGCGACGTACAGGTCATTTCAATACCCCATGTGAAGCTACAATTGGAACCTGGTCAGTATGGTAGACCCATTGGCAACTGTCGCTTGCGACATACGTGATACCAAGAGTGTTGAAGGTCAAGAGCACCATTCGCATGGCCTCTGAGCTCCCCCTAATGGAGGGCTGTCCCGCCCAGCTAGACATCCCTGCGGGATCTTGCTCTAATACGAAAGCGTCGTCGTCTTGGAGGCAATCTTGACCGCCGTCGTTCTCGCCTCTTCTAGATGTGTCCGTACGGTGTTGGGTAAAATTGCCAAGACCGAAAAGCTTCGTGTCCCCTTCTCGATGCGCTTCTGGGGGTTCGCGGATTGCTAAGGGAAAATGGGCGTCGTCATCTAGCTCGTTGCCGCCCTTGTCGTCATCGATGTTGCTGCTGGAAGATCTAGAGGGCGTCCTGATCGGGGTCGATTTCCCGCCCGAGTAATCGTCGTCGTAGTCGCGGTCGTCCAGCGAGGGGGAATGGTGAAGGTGTGAGGATGAGGAGTTGTGCGACGACGTCGTTGAGGCCGACGTATGGGCCATTTGAAGGGGCCGGCGCAGCACTCCGTACAACAGGCTGCTTGCGCTGCCAAGGGCAGGCCGGGCGGCTTGCGTATGGGCAGGGGGTTTTCGAGGTGTGGGCCAGGACCGAATTTAAAGTAATCCGGGCGTCGCGGCCGCTGCGGATATCAGGACCGGGTGCGCGTCATGCCCACAATTCAGTGGTTGTGAAAGGAAGATCAACCGACTGGAGTAAACTTTGCTGGCAGATTGGGGATGGATGCAACGGAGGTCCAAGATGTGCAGGCCAGAGGAGTGGTGGTAACGTCAAGCTATGGTGGGCCCAGCATGGAGCAGGCGCATCGAGGGTCCAAGGTACGGAGCACGGAGTACGTACGGGGGAAATGATGAGGTAGGGGGCAAGCTAGGCGGCCGGAATGCAATACGAAATTGGCAGGGCGAGTGACTGCTGCGCACCTCACAGTTCGACTTTGGATTGTGCAGAGTCGGGAGCTTGGGATACCTTATTTTATGATTAGGTATTGCCTACCTTAGGCGAAAGGGGTCCGATAGAACAAGACAGTCCAGGATATGCATAAGAACAGGAGAGGGAGCAAACATCAATCCAATAGTCGGGGGCCTCAGGGAAGCAAGCTCGCAGCCGGCTTTGCTGTGCTTCCCTCATGTAGATGAGGATGCGTGGCTTGATGGAACATGGAAGGGATACGAAGGTAAGGTGAGTACCTACCTTATTGTTATACACTGATCGTTGTGTCAAGGAGTATGGATAGGGAGTAGCTTGTACCTAATGCGAGGGAAACCACCAGGAGTGATGGAAACCAGAAAGCCTGCGGTATCAAGAGTTTTGTTTTAATTGGGCTTGAAACAATGGAAAGTAACTTAGATTGCCCTACACTTCAATTCGTCCAGGGAGAATTCCTCTTAGGTTCCATTCAAGGTAAGGTATCGTCTGCCAATTCCCAGGCAATTGGCCCGACAGAATGGCTTGAAAGTTGAAGCTATGTCGAAGCTTACACGGGGAGTTTCTCGCGTTAGAAGCTCAGACCATCTAAAGAAGCCAGGTCCAACTTTCAAGACAGGCCCGTACAGAGATGCTCTGTAAGAGTATCGAGACTTGGTCATGGCCGGACATTAGGGAACATTTATCGGCATCAGAGATATACTTCTCACTCCAAACCTTTTGGTTAGTTCAACCATGTATAGTGGACAGCAGTCATGTTTCTACTCTGGGGCTTGAAATTCAGCAATTGCCCAGTAGAGCAACTTGAACATGAACATAGAATGCCCAAACTCTGTACCTTACTGTTACTTTAGCTTTCTCTTCAACAGCGACACAAGACCAAGCACCTTTAGGAGTGATGTAGGGGTAGATTTCATCAAATCATTCCATAAGCTACTTCAAAATAACGTGAGTTGAGTGTATCGATAAGTATACTCCGTATATATCCTTCCCCTTCAACCCAAGCAGAAACTGGCAGGTAAAGATGAAATCCCCGAGGTACTGGGTAGCTTGCCTCAGCGAGGGCCCGCTGTGAGAACGGGCGCAGGTGCCGCCTGCCCCTCCGGCGTGTGCCGTCACTTGGTCCAAGGACTGCCCCGCGTTCAACGGCGTGCCCCGCCATCCACTCGCGCTCTCTGCGCCAGTCGCAGCTCCGACATAGGCCAACGTGGTGGTGGCCCGCGGTGATGAGTGACGACTACTGCCGCACACTAGGACGGCGGGGTTCCAATCCACCACACAAAATTTCCGCCCTCTTTCTCTCTCCCAGTCTTGGCCCGGTCTTTGACTCACCGCAGAATCGAACAAGTGTAGTCACCCCTCTACGGACAGCTTCCGCGACGACCAAGAACAAAGTCGCGCAGACTTCGACTTTTATCATTGCCCGAGTCCCAGTCCAATTGACTCGAAATTACGCTCGCTTTCCAAGCCTCAACCACCCTCGGAGCACCTCACACCGACCTGTGTTGTGCGACCCAAAACCACCCCGCCGCTGTCGCTGCAGAAATTCTCGTCGCCATTGGCTTCACTGCGACCTTGTGCTCCAATCCACACACGCGCCCGACCCGACCGTTTCCACCTAACCTCTTGAAGCGTTTCAACTCTGGGAGCAACTTCTCTCCACCTATTGTATTCCCGTCTGTCGATCGCGTCATTGCAACATACCTTTGCCTACCATGGATTTGGTCAACCAGTTGGTTTTACCCCTCCATCACAACCGCCATGGACCATTTCGCAGAGAAACTAATGACGAAGCAAAGCCTAGAGGGCCGCCTTCTATTCGCCGTGCCCAAGAGTGAGTCAACCCATAATGTTCATCTCAAAAGGCGCACACGCTGACAATGACTCCTTTCCGCAGAGGGCCGCTTGAACTCCGCTACGCTCAACCTGCTTGAGGGAGCCGATATCCAGTTCCGCCGCGAGAACCGCCTCGACATCGCCCTCGTCAAAAACCTCCCCATCGCCCTCATCTTCCTGCCCGCCGCCGATATCCCCACATTTGTCGGCGAGGGCCGCGTCGACCTTGGTATCACGGGCTGGGACCAGGTCAAGGAGCACGATGCCGGCGTCATCAGCAGCAACAAGGCCCGGAGAGCCTCTGTCGAGCTGAACGCTGAGGGCGAGGAGCTCCAAAAGGTCGGAGGCTGCGAGATGGTCATGGAGCTCGGCTTCGGCCACTGCAAGCTGCAGACCCAGGTCCCGGAGAAGGGTCCCTATGCGACGACGCAGGATCTGGTTGGCAAGACCATTGGCACCAGCTTCGTCAACCTGGCGGCAGAGCACTTTGCCAAGCTGGAGCTGGGCGTCGACGCCGATGGCAACAGCAACACCTCGCCCAAGAAGCTTCGTACCAAGATTATCGATCTCAGTGGAAGTGTCGAGGCTGCTTGTGCGCTGGGTGTCGCCGATGGCATTGTTGACCTTGTTGGTAAGTAGTCGCCCTGAAATGGCCAGCATCTGAACAAGCACTGACGTTCGCATCCAGAGTCTGGCGAGACCATGAGAGCGGCCGGCCTCAAGGCCATTGACACCGTTGTCGACTCTCAAGCTTGCCTCATCAAGTCTCGGTCGCCGTCAAACACCGAGCTTATTGAGCTCATCGCCGCCCGTATCCGCGGTGTCATTACCGCTCAGAGATTCGTCCTATGCCAGTACAACATTGAGAGGTCACGTCTGGTCGAGGCCAAGCAGATTACCCCTGGAAAGCGGGCGCCGACCATCACAACGCTGGACGAGGAGGGCTGGGTCGCTGTCAGCTCAATGGTTGAGAAGAAGAAGATTGCGCTGGTGATGGACGACTTGACCCGCGTTGGCGCTCAAGACATTTTGGTGCTCGATATCCACAACACTCGATAGATTTTGCAGTATTTTGGAAAGGAAAAATAGATGAATACCACGAAATATGTAGTGCCCTTTCAAGAATGTCAGCAAGCGTGCAAGACTCGACCAATCTGTCGCAATTGAAGTAACGGCAGGAGTTCCAAAGAACAAGACGTGACCGAAAGCGAAGATGAAGCTGAAGCTGGGCGGAATGGTCGTCCATCACCGACACAACTGAGCAGTGAGCAGTTGTGGCTGAGGTGACGGTATTTTCGATGGTACGCATGGCATCGAGGCGTCGACATTACTTGCGTCGCTAGCGTTGCATTTCGAGGCTCTGCACCTTTGCTCGGCCTCATCGACCAGCCCCTCCTTCTGTGGATGCAGGGCTGAATCAGAATGAGCAGAGCCACGCACTGGGCACCCCTGATAAACAAAGCTCTAAGGTCTTTGGGGGGGCTCGGGTCCTCGGGCCCGCACGAGCGAATTGGATATCGATCGATGCTCTGAGTATTTTTTTTTTTTCTCTTTTCACAGCGTTTCTTTAGCTTGTGTTGAGAGAGAGAGGTGTGATGTGATGTCTTGCTGATCAGTGATCCCCCAATACGCGCCAAGTGGAGACCTTCCGTCACTCCCGTATCCCGACCGCAGTGCGCGCAAAGGCGAGGTACCGCAAGGTAAGGCGCACCACCTGGCAACCGAAACCGAGGCGGTGGTAAATTTAGGCCCAGTACGGATAGTGGCAGCACGGCGGCGGTGCTGCCCGCCCGCGCCGAAGCTACCGATGATCAGGTACCTTACCTGACTGACATATTTCTATCTCCGCACGCCGCCGTCTTTGACGTTTCTCCCTTTTTTCTGAAATCTTGATTTCAACCTCATCTCTGAAAGACAAGCCCTTGACAGATTGCTAGATATCCATATTTCAAGCTTTACGAATCAGTTTCCAGCTAGAAGTCCATTGTTCACGGACTCTACAAGCAATTCAGCCATCGGGAGGCACAATGTCGTCATCAACAACAGCCACCAAAGTCACTGCCACGCGAGGCAGCAGTGACGCTGGAGCCGTCCAGCAGTCTACCATTTACAAGGTAAGATCCCCACGCGCTCAATTCCAACGCGGTATCATGAAGTCTGGGGTTTGCTCTGAAGAGACCGGAGAGGGTTTCCGGCTGAGCTGGGCATCTCAGGTGACATAGTCGCCGTGTCCTGATGCGCAAGACCGCTCACATTTGCACCCAGTTTATAATGACACCCATCATCCTCGTCTCCTTCCTGCTCTCCCTAGCCTGGGTGGACCTCACATACACCATCAGGAGGTCAAGAAACCACGGCAGGCAAGGCTGGATGCCCTCCTGGCTGCACAGCATCCTCTACCGGAAATCACAGTACCGTTACGCAGAGGCCAAGGACTCAAAAACAACGACGCCGACGACGACGCCGAGTCCCAAGGATGAGCGGGAGGAGTTTTACTACCATAGTAAACAGAAGAAGCTGTTGCGCGCGGAAGTCGACGATGCGTTCCAGCTGAGAGGTCATGTTCTCGTCGTGATGGCGCTCGTGTTGCTCACGACATCGCTGGCTTTTGCTTGGGGTGGCTGGATGGTTTTCAGCTGGGTATGGAAAAGCTTTGGCGAGAGACCATTTGGCGTTTGAGAGATGACGAATGAGAATGTGAATTACTGCGCCGGGTCGAGAGTTCTGGTATACGGTCGCAACTGCACGATGTTCAAAGCTCTTCCCAGCTACATCAATGCGCACCCGGGATGAAGGCGGCACGAGTTGGGATGAACTCTCTATCCATGCGACTGTTCCAAGGGCTTTGCCAGAGTCGACCCCTTGTGGCCCACTTGAGATTCCTGGTGGCTGACTCGGCTTGCCCTCGACAGCTCTGATATCCCGATTCGGCAACGGGTAGCATTTCGGAGCTTACCTCGAATTTGGTGCGGTATTAAACACAGGCCGAAGAAAAATATAATCGACTATGATGGGAAGACTGGATGGTACTTCGGACAAAATGGCGTAGAGGGCGAAACCTCGGGAGTTTGGTTATACCCTGGAGTTGATTTGTAGCTGCCTACATTTAATGATAGAACCAAAAGTTTTCGCGTTGCTCAAGGTGGATCAGATGTGGGATTTAACTTATGATTCTTCTATGGATATCGTGATGCAGTCTCACGTGTTCACCCATATGAACTCGTGGGAGAAAGAAGCGAACATGTTACCAGAATAAAAACATTGTAGTGAAGACATCCATCATTAAATGTGATATCCAAGTGCCCGAGAATAGGAACCTGCTTTGTTGAAGGGCGGTCACTGTTAAAAGAAGTCAAGCTCAGTGTAAAAGGATAGTTGCAAGAGGTCACGTTAGCATGGATACAAGGAAGGTGCGATCATGCGGTCCAATCTTAGAGATGGGATCGAGCAGGGAGAAACGACAGAGAATGGGATCGCTCCTTTCTCTAACCAGACCCCTAGAGGAACTCGAAATCAGATCAAAACCTCTCGAGCCTTGTCTTATGAATAGCTTCATGTCCATACTTTTCACCGAGCACCGGACCATTCGGTCGAAGGGTTCTTTGCTCCAGAGGCCCCGGTTGGACCATGAAGTCTCTGGTCTAGTTCGGGGTCCAAGTTCGATCCCCGATCAGTCCAGCTTGGTTTTTGCCTTTCTCGACTCTTCATAATTCGAGAGATTTGACCTAACAGTACTCTCTAAATCATTCAAGGGCAGCTGAGAGTCCCGAGTTCGACCTCCTATATACATACAATTAGAATTAGAATATACTTTCTTAATCGCATACACAAACCTTTCTTCCAATCTTCTTTAGTCCCTTAAGCAATAGCTTGAGGACCTCTTAGATTTTTCACTTTCAAATTTTAACATCTGTCTTTCAGTCTTTTAAACAAGAGATTGTTGCACTGGATCTTCTTACTTGCCAACTGCCGGGGAAGGTGACTCGAGTGGGGCAGATATTGGAGTGGGCCCAGCACCATCAGGGAACGCAGCTTCCCCTGCCGACTCTGGTAATTTTCTGGAGCTTCCCTCTTACCCCACGCACGCGCCGACTTGCTCTTTGCACCTTTCCTTTTCTGGCTTTGAACGCGCCGACTCCAACTCTTTCCACTTCAACTTACTCAACCGACTTTGCAGGCTGCCTTTCGAGACTCACTCACTAATTCATTCATTCACTACAAAAACGTCATAGAGACATTCGGCAAATGCGACACATGAAAATACAGTCATGTCGGAGCCGGAGCCTGCACCTCAAAGGCCCGGCATCTTGCACGGCACCAACGCGCCACTGAGTAGCGCCCTCAGAGCAGAGTTATACCAGGCTATCGAGGCCCTTTACGCGGTCGGTGGTGGGCCCGACACGTCCCACGCGATCGAGTCAGAGACAGAAAACCATCCGACTACGACAGAACAGCACTCCGCCTCCAGTCATGCAATAGATGCTGCATACGGCCGGCTCACTGAGATTTTGAAGCACTGGGACTCTAGGACTCAGGATCGATCCTTGTCGCTTCAATATGCTATCTACCACTTCCACGTCCCGAAAAATGGCATGGAATTCGAGAGTTGGGTCATGGGGCAGAACATGTCTGCTGCTGACTCTACTCTCATTACTCGTCTCATCGACTTGTGCCCTCGGCTAGGATTTGAGGTTCTTCCAGTGGTTATGAAATACACAGGAAAACATTGCCAGTACCAAGCTTGGATTTCCTTTCAGAGAGACGGCAATGCTGGGTCGCAAACCCCTGAGCAGAATGGCTTCTGGCAGGTCAACCAGCATATTAGACACTTGCCCAGCATTGGGTATTTTGGCAGTTTTGATGATTTCACGCTTGCTGAAAACATCGATTGCCAAGAGGGTAATGTTCTAGATGATAGGAATATTCTCTGGGAAAGCGCCCGTCGGTCAATCTTTTCATGGCAATGGCCCTATGAGAAGCAGGCATTTGACGAGGAGCTAAGATATCGTGAGGCAAACCCTCAGTGGTACCGGAACATTGTCCCAGGCACTAGCGGTGACCTAGGACAATACTTCGCACCAGTGAGTTCGAGGCGACCAGCCATCTAGGCGTTTGTGACTCCACTCTGACTATACACAGGCAATCATCATTACACCTCTCCGAACACAACTTGACTTTGTCAACACGACCAATCAAACCCAGCTTGCTGGAAACCTCTGGCGCTATCTCTTGCGGCAATGCAGAGGATCTTCAGAGTCAGCGTTCTACTTTGAAGCACTCAAGTCTCTTTGTCAATTTGTTTGGCCTCAGTACGGCAATGAGTTGCCAGAGACACAGATCCTTGGCCTGCGAGTTAGGAGCCGTGAAGATTTCATGGGAAAGATCGACCAAGATCTCATGGGTGATTTGATATTGACTTCACTGGCGTTCAACGACCAACAACTTTTCCAAAACCTTGTCGCCAACATCCAGTCCAAGCCGATAGTAGACTATGACTGGATATGCCAGAATGCAATCTTTCATGGCTACTCGGCAGCTGATGCTCTTTATGAGTAAGTTATACATTTACAATCAATAATCAAAGCTAACACCAGCTTAGACTTCGCCATTTCCTATCCGAGGGCAACAACTTCTTGCAGGTTGCAAGCATCATCGACAAGCTGCCTGCATGTTCCGAGGCCAACAACTCGAGCCATTACACCCAGGAACTGGGAATCACGGCTATCAGAATGCTTGAAGCCCCTCTTTCAGCTAGCCATGGCCGGCTCATAGTAAACCTCTTGAAGTTGTTCAAGGACTTTGGCACGTGGAGGGACACGTGAGTACATTTTCTAATCTTTGGTATTTTATCATACTGATAATCAATAGGGTGAACGCAGCCGTGAGCCGACTTGGAGAAACTCAAGAGCAGAGTCAATTCATTCTCGGATTGTTTAACAGACTTTTCGAGGTGGCCAAGAGACAGAAGCTCCCCCTTGACCAAGTCACCGAATTTTACGAGAAGCACGCAGGAGTGACAGGAGCATCACGAACGCTATGGAACATCAAAAACTTGGTTAGCAATGCCAACAAAGAACAGAGCACCGAAGCCCAGGCTTCTCGCAAGGCTTGGTGCGTTGCTGAACCGACGGAGGAACGTCTTCACGACCTCTCAAAGCTGGGCCCAACGAATCACACAATGATCGCTGGACTACTCCGAAACCTTGATCGTCTAGGTATGGTTGATCAACTATCTGATCTCACAAATCACATTGCCCAGCATGTTACCGAGATCGAGCCTATCCATTTGGCATCTCTCTGGCTGCCATTGCTCAAGACCCTCCAGGATGTGGCGGACCCCGATAAGCCGGCATATCAGCGCCTCTTTCAGGCCATCTTTGTGCGTTACGAGAGCGCAGTGTTTGAGGATGTCTCAGGTCTGATCGAGCGGGAGCCAAAGTCGATACCCCCAATGGCCGAATGTTGCGGTCACTGCAAGACTCTTAACTCTTTCTTCGAGCAACCATCTTGGAAAACAATTCACCTGGTAAAGCCCAGAGCAATTGTAGACCATATTCAAGGACAGCTCAACAAGCAAGACAAGCCCATCAAAGCAGCTATCTACGGTAAGAACGAGGCTAGTCTGACGATGCAGCTTACCAAATTTTCGCTGGTCAACGAAAGAATCCGCACAAGTGAAAGATTGAGGAGACAGGAGGCTACCAGAGCTGTTCATCAATTCGACCCAGATGTTCTGCTTTCATTCCTTGGAGACAAGGGTGGGATCATGTGGAAGCTTGGAGATGCGGAGTCTCAGAGGCCTCTCACAAGCACCGCCGCAAGACCCGCAGCTTCTTCTCCAGCTATTGTGACTGTTGAGCTACCCAGGCCAAGCTCTACGTCCACTTCAAGCATTTCTCTGGTGTCTTTGGAGACGCCTCGAAGGAGCCACCAAGAATCCCCAACCAGAAACGAGCTGCCACCAAGCAACAGCGTAGCCCAAAACCAGGCAACTCCAGAGGTGGAGGGTGTGGACATGGCAAACATTGTGAAGCCAGAGCCTTCGTCTACTACCATTTCAGCGGCTAGACGGTCAGGTCACAGGGATATCAGGGAGATGTTTGGCGCGAGTGTCAAAAAGGAGCAGTCTACAAGTACCCCAAGCGGCAGCAGCCAAGATGCTCTACCCGTCTCCAGCGACACCTCGACGAGAGATCCACTCAAGAACTTGGGCAGGATCAAGCTCGAGTCTACGCCCAAGTTTGATGGTGAAGCGACGGCCCGACTCCGGGCGAAGCTAGACAAGAGACTGACGCCGAGAGAGACCCCTCGAAGCGGCAAATTCGATTCCAGTGTGTCGAGAACGCGGGACCCGTTGGCACCGTTTGGAGGAATCAGCTCGAGAAAAGAGCCCGTATCGTCGTTCAGCAGACGAGCCGGGTTAACGGGGACTTTGGAGCCCATGTCTTCGCTTCCGAGCAGGCCTGACGAACCTTCCAAAACACCGCGGCTGGACGCCATGATGGGTGGTCCTACGCCTAAGCCTACGCCGCGTCTGGACGCCTTATCGGAAGGGTATTCCAACAGCAGTCGACTAGGCCTCGGGGTTAGACCTAGGAGCCCTTCGAGCAGCCCGTCACCAGCTACCGGCAGCAGCAACCAGCCGGACTACATGGCGGCGATCCTAGACGCGGAGCGCTCCAAGAAGCGTCGTGCCGGCTCGACATGGGAGGTGCGGTCGGCCTCGGGTAACATTATGGGTTCGGGCACGGCGTCCTCTGCCGCGAGCAGGTCGCGGTTCAACGGACTTGTCGACGCAAGTCAACAAGAAAACCCCAGGGTCACTTCCCTTATGAACGAGAAAAGTCCCCCACGTTCGTGCAGCGGATTTGGGGGAGGAGCGAGAGCTTCGTCGGGAGCTCTTACAGCGCGGTCTCATAATGTGAGGCCGGGGCAGAGTCGCATCTCCGGCACGATTCCTCGCAAGAGACAGATGGACGACAATGACGACGAGGATGTTATTGACCTCTGCGGCGACGATGGCCCTTCTCTCGGAGGACGTTTCGGAGGAGGAGCCTCGGGGGGGAACAAGAGGGTCAAGACCACCCCGATCTTCAACCTCCTTGATGATGATCCTTTCGGTGAGGATTAATGGAGATGAGTTGAAATTCGTTTATTTTGGTATGAGCTCAGCGCATCGGGGCAGTAGTGAGCGTTTACTTCACTGGACATGGCTTGGCGATATTCCATTGGTAGAAAGGGGGTTTCCCTTTCCTGGCCTGCACGATAGGACGGTAATCACGGGAGAGGGCGTTTGGTCGAGACATTTTTTTTCTTTTTTTGCTTATGCTGCTTCGGAGAGGAGCACATAGGCGATTTGCACGATACCCACTACTATAGACGTTATAGAATCAGAAACGCAAGGCTTTTTTTCTCTTCATTTTGAATTAATGGAAGACGATGGTCATCATGAATCATTTATATTTGTATGACTTTTGTCATTACTACGCTTTAAAGCACTGCTTTCCCAAGTTTGTGTGCCCTGCTTTTTTTTTGTCCTGGATAGCTTCCGCCTCGGACACCAGAAGAGTTTACATCACATAGAGAAGATCCGTGTCTAAAGGACGATTAGCATGATGTATCAAAAGTAGATTAAACACATGAATGACAAGTGGATAGACGCGGCTTACCGATTGGGTGACTGCTTGAAAGTTGAGGCAGCTGGGTGTACTTCTCCTCCAGGACCTCGCGAATGCTGTTGAGCAGCTCGACGTAACTTTGCTGGGGGTTCTTTTTCAGAGCCGTGATAAAAGCGTACGACATGGCGCCCGTAGCTTGGTTCGCAATGGTAGCGTCGGCACTAGTAAACAACTTTTGTTAGATCTTATAACTCTGTGACGCCGTTCCTATCACGGTAGATGTGGGAAACTCACGATGTCTGACTGTCCTTGCTGCCGGACCACATGATGACGTCGGCGGGAGAGGTACGCGTGTCCTTGGTCTTTTCGTAGGCATCGTCGCCGGCAATGGCGCGCTTGCCGAAGCTGAAGATGGAGCTCGCGACACCACCTAGATCGCCCGAGGTGTAAGCCGTGAATGCCTTGAGCAGTCCCTGACCGGCCTCCTTGGCCAGATTGGGCTCCTTGAGAACGCCCTTGGTGGAGTAGATGTAGGGCAGGTCGAGGGCGGAACCAGAGTGGCATGAGTCGAAAATGGCTGTAAGTCTCACGCCGGGCTGGAGGGGTCGGACCATGATGAGGTGCATCTCGTCGTCGACAATGTGACCGGCTTCCTTGTAGTCAACCGGGTAGATGACTTCGTCGTAGCCGTCATCTTCATCACCATCCAGATCCTCAGTCTGGCCGCCGTGACCAGAGTAATGGAAGAACAAAGAGTCATTTGGCTGTGCGCCCTGAACGAGCCAGTGCATGGCTCGGAGGATGTTGTTCTTCGTGGGCTGACCCATGGCCTGCTGCTGATCGTCGGTGAGGATGACCATGTCTTCACGCTTGTAGCCGTACTTTTCTACCAGGAAGGCCGACAGGTTCTTGACGTCGTTGATGCAGCCGCGCAGCTCACCATCCTGGCCAAAGTAGTTGATGCCGATAAGAAGGGCTTTCCTCTTGCCCTGGCAGGTGGAATACTGGAAGCTGTAGCCATCGGGAGCGCCGTGGCCGAACTGCTGAGCGCCGGAAGGCGGGGGAGGGGGCGCGTTTCGGTTGCCGTGAGCCCAGTCGTTGGAGTTTACCGTTGGCATATCTGAGATGAATCAATACTCATGAGACTTTGAAGAAGCGAGGCGCGTGATACTCACGGGGTCTTCCCTGGTGGCCGGAATTGACAGGGTAGCCGTATACGTCGAGGCCCGGAGGCGGAGGATGGGAGGGGGGTGCATACCTTCCGATGTAGCCCTGGTCCGGGTGCGGGTTGGGCGGTGCCTGGTTATAGCCGTAGCCACCCTGACCCGGAGGGGGACCGGGAGGCGGGTTGTAGCCGCCGCCACCGCCGCCGCCGTAGCCTCCATGGTGTGAGGGAGGGGGTCCCGGGGGAGGTTGGTATCCGCCGTAGCCGCCGCCGCCTCCTCCTTGGTGACCTCCATAACCTCCCTGTTGCTGGTGGCCGCCGCCATAGCCTCCTCCACCATAACCACCGCCGCCGTAGCCGTGCTGTCCTGGGTAGCCAGACATGTTGCCAGGTCAATTGACGCTGTGCTTGTGCAGGGTGAAGAGTGTTGTGCAAGACGTGTTTTGGTTTACACAGGCTTCGCTGGAACAGAGGTGAGTTGAGTTGTGAGTGAGGTGGTGTCCCGGAAAGGGCGGGGTGAGGGGCAAACCCACTATGAGCGAATAAGCTGTGCCCAAACGAGCCTTTGTTATTGAACGGAGACTTCCCGGCAAGCCAGGGAAGATGCAAAATCTATAGAGGAGGGTCTGAAGAGCTGCAGAAGTTCGGACTCGGAAGGTTAAGAGTTGATATGGACGGAATGCGAAGGGTGTTAAGAAAGATTGTGGGGTTCGGTTGGGTGAGATGCGAGAGCGATGCGCAGAGAATCGGGTGGTCGGATTGGTACCTTGCCAAGGTCTTTTGAGCGGTAGCGCGGCACTGCGGGAAGCTCCTGCTCACCTCAGAGCTGGGAAAGCGTGGATTGTAGCAGCTTACCTTAGGTATCCGTAATACCCAAGGTCGAGGTGGGAAGGGATGGGCTCCGATGGAGGGGCAACGGGCGAGGCAGCCCAGGATGAGACGTCTTGAGGTCAGAGTGGTGGGGTTGGAGGGGGAAGGGGCGGTAAGGGGAACTGAACTGGATGGAAGGTGAAGGGAGGAGACCCTCGGTTGCACTTGCACCAAAGGCGCGACGTTTTGTCTGTTTCTGGGCAAGTGTTTGGAGTTTTCAGCTGGGATTCACACATGTCTCCACGCAGTAGAAGAGAAAGAAGGAGTTCCAGAAACTTGTTCCAGATCATCTGATCACCTCTCTCTGTCCGTACTGATACGCGCGAGGTTGAGGTATGCTTTCTTACATTCTCCCGCGTGTTCGAGATAAAGCTCCAGTCCTTCACATCTTATTCCTAGCTACAAAGTCAAAAAGTCATCTTCATAGATTGATTGCTGCAGCTTGTTGCCTGGTCTGGCTGCGAGCCTGAGCATGGGAGGGCTTCGCATGCGAGGCACACTCCGTTGGTTAGATCCATCAACGAGCAACAGTTGGGATGCCTCCAAGGCTGATACAGATGGTCCGTGATTCGAAAGGTGGCTGGCTAACGGTAGTCCTGGGCTCAATGGGAGGAAGAAGTCCAAGCCACGCTGAAATGCAGGTCTCAGGAAATCATTGCCGATGAGCCCAAATGCCGGTTGAAGCTCGATGCATCACCAAATACCCATGATCAGCGACAATTCCAACAACGTCCATGCCCAATCATGACATATGCTACCGAGACTACCTTATTCGAAAGGAGCAGGGGGAGTTAGCTAGGTGGCTAGGCACATAAATGTCTGTTATAGTTCATTGTTCGCCGAACTTCCATCGTCTGCCAAGACCAAGCGGCTGTCAGTTCCTCCCCTTCCCGCGGACGGCAGAGGAGAAGGGACGACGTGCCCAGACCTGGTCTGACGGGAAGAGAGGGCGGAAGGCGGAGGAAGTCCCATTGCTGCCCTTTTCTCTGCAACTCTGCGCAAGTCTGCACGCTATCATTCGTACATACGCAGTACAGCTATCTGATGTTGCCACCCACCCACCCCCAAGCCCGGAAGCCAATTCAAAGCACCGGACAGGACCTAATCCTTTTTGAGCAACGGCGATGTGGATGTGGCCGCGTACGCTTGCAGGTCCGCGGGCGGAAATAGACTTGGACGCCAAGACTCTTCCAGGCCACACAGGCGCTAGATGGTGCCGTAGGGCAGCCTGGCGTCATACCTCACATGCTGGTGGTGATCAGGGTGCACAGCAGGGTACCGGTACTGGGCATCTTAGGTAAGGTAAGGTATTTGTACGGATACAACATGCAGCTAGGTATCTTGTGGTGTGAGAGGGGGAAGGGGCCTAGTCTTTCAGACTTTGATAGGAGAATGTCACCAACAGGTTCAGCTGGCGACTGCCAGACATCTGTCAACCTTACCACACCTTTGGTCTTTGGCGTCGCAGCCTGGAATTGGGACTGGACTGGACTGGACCGGGCTTGATGTTGATACAATTGACTAAAATAAAGTAATACGAAGCTAGGGACAGAGCAAACCAGCATCAGAGCAGTCTCAAGCCAGGGCTGTTGGAGGGATGGCACGCTACTTCTCGGTATCGGCATCCAGTCCATCGGCATCCATGTGCAGGTACCTTGCTCTTCATAGCAAAAACAGGTGGGAGCAAGGTAGCCCAGCACTAAGAATGCAGAACCATTCAATCAGGCTGAGGCCAGGCGAGAGAACGAGGGGCTACGGGCTACCATTCCTCGACTCTTGTTTTTCTCCCCCTCCACCTATTACCTTGCCTACCCTCATTTTGCCTTGCATCTTCACTCAAACGTCAACACACGATTCTCCTCGCTCGTCGCACGCGATAGCCTAAACGAACCGAACTAAGGTGCACATCAGATTATCGTTATCGTTACTCGTCCAGAAGCTTGCTGTAGCTTCCTCGACACACCTATTCAGACCACGACACACGCTCGTTTCCCGACCCCGCAAAACTCAAAAATGGTGCGTTTTCAGTCGCGACCCATGATGCTGCCCCTCACGTCGCAGCTCCGATATGGCTGTCGTTTCGCTGGCATCCAAAACGCTGACATTTCGACTTCGATCTTCGTGTAGGCCCCTCCGCCCTACGGACTCACTGAGGAGCAGTACAAAGACTACAAGCAGGTCTTTTCCATCTTTGTAAGTTGCAAGAACCCTGCCTCTCACATACGTACCCCGACAATAGCATCATCGTGCATTGTCCTCCTCCTTGGGATGAACTCCTTGCTGACAGTGGTGTTTCCTCCCTGACAGGATCGCGATGGCACCGGTCAGTAACTCCCGACTTAACGAACCCAACTAGTCGTTCATGCCGAATCAGCCTGCTAGGCTTGCCATTCCCGCTGGATTATCAGCTCATCCAGCTAACTAGAATTGCGTATCTAGGCGCCATCAACGCGGAGGAGTTCCAGATCGCCATGAAGTCTCTTGGGCTGAACCCCAGCATTCAGGAGGTCAACGAGCTCATCGCCGAGGTCGATCCCAATAACGACGGCGGAATTGACTTCGAAGGTGCGCCTCCGTTTTGAGCCGTGGTATGATTGGAAATACAGTCGCCATGGTGTTTCGCTGTAGCAACATGGAACCTCTGCGACTAACAACGACCGCAGAATTCCTCCAACTCATGAGCGAGGCACCCGCACCCTCAAGCAAAGACTCCGACACCAACACCGAGCTTGTCGCTGCCTTCAAGGTCTTTGACAAGGACAACAGCGGCTCCGTCTCGCCCTCGGAACTGCGCCAGGTGCTGCTGTCTCTCGGTCAGCGCGCCACCGACGAGGAGATTGAGGAGATGATTAGAGGTGCCGATCTCGACGGCAACGGCTCTATTGATTGTAGGCCAACCCCCAATACTGCGAATGTGTACCCATGCCTAACGCGATCGCATCAATACTGCCAGTGGCCCGGTGCCGCGTCCCTCGCCCACCGCAATGGCCCTGCATCACCACTCCATTCGCATTTCGCTTGCCACACCCGCCCCCACTCAGTGTTTCTTTAATTAGCACCATTACTTTCGGAAGGATTGCGGCTGACATTGCAAAAACATAACAGATCAGGAATTCGTCCAGCTCATGGCCCCGAAAGACGGCAAGAAGTGAAACAGTATTCTGCAAACGCGAGAAGCAGCAGCAGCAGCGACAAACAGTTTGTTAGCGGGGCGATCTTTCTTTGATTTTGGGTCCAATGGGCGGTGGGGGGGGAAGGGGAAAAAAGCACACACTGCCGCCTTGATACCCTTTCCTCATAAGGCACAGTGAAGAGAGGATACGGGTGCTTTAAAAGTGGAGGAAAACGACTTGGCAATACACATCACAATCATACACATGACACAATACATGCAAGACATTGATTGACGGCTTTGACACGGATTACTTCACATTTTTTCACCATGGTCTTGCCTGTCTGATGCAGAAGAACATTCAACAGATGGGTGGTTTTTATTTTCGTTGGGTGTATTTACTCTGCTAACGACTGAGGTTGACTTGCTATGTCGAGTCCTCCTCACCAAGTGAACAGCCCGAAAAAAAACCTCCTATCCCAGAAACAACAAGGAAAATAAGCGAAACGCAATCGCCATGTGGGTAATCGTAAGAGCAAGAATGTCTCTTTAATGCTCAAGTGAACAAACTAGCGTGCGGCAAGAAAACCGGCATCGCAAAGAAGGGGGTGTGGAAGGATAGAAGAATAAAGCAGTCCGCCTTCCAAGCCGAGTCAAACAACCTCCCGCTCCTCCATCCATTCCCCATGCCGTTTCCCATTCTCCAAACAAAGGCCGTGATCGCGTTCGGGGGGGGGGGGGGTTGATGGTAGTAGGGGGGCCCATCTAGTTGGTATCTTTGTGTTGTAAGTTTGTTGCCTTGGTCGCACTCGGTATCTTCGTTTGTGTTCGGCTGTTGCTATTTATTTTTTTCTGTTCCCTCTCCTGCTTGGCGTGTTACACGTGTGTGCGTGTGTGGATTAGAAGCAACAGGTCAGGCACTCGAGGCAGCATTCGCAGGTCTCTCCGCAGAGCCAGCAGCAGCAGAGAGTGGCGATGCTATATTTTGTGTGATCAGTGTGTGTGGGTTGTAGAGATATATTGCGAGCATGCGGCGATGGTCGCCAAGGGGCTGTTGTTACTTACCAGCCGTAGAGGCAGCCCTTGTCATCCTTCTTCTCCTCCTGGGGAGGGGGAGCCTGGCCCTGGGGAGGGTAGTACATCTACAAGAGCAGTGGAGGTTAGAGTCAGGCTTTCTCGCGAGTCGAGGGTGATGACGATCGGTACAATCGGTGTTTGAGCAGAGAGAGAGGACTTACGGGCTGCTGGCCGGGAGGAGGGTAGCCCTGGGGAGGGTAGCCGCCCTGGGGAGGCGGGGGAGAGCCGTAGTAGGGCCTGGAAGGGATTGTCAGTTTTTTTTCTTGGGTTTCTCTTGATGCTTCTCTTGAGATCGGGAAGGTGAGGTTGGTTGGTTGGGTGTGAAGAGTGGAAAGGCGCGCGAGCGCGCGCGTGTACGAGCGCCGATGCGCAACAAGGTGAGAGAAGAGCTTGGGAAACTTACTGCTGGCCGGGAGGAGGGTATTGAGACATGGTGATTAGGAAGGTTTGTGATTATCGACGAAAAGGAAGAATTGACGATTTGCGAATGGAAAGTGGAAAAATTCAGGAAAGAGAGTGAAGGTTGCAAGTTGCAAGGGGTGCGGCGGAAGTGGTGCGTGGGATGTGAAGGAAGGAAATAGGTGGTAGGATGGGAGATGGGATAGGTGAGATGAGATGAGATGGGGAGTGGGTTATGTTCTTTCCTCCCCTCCCGTCGGTCACAATCCAATCCCAATGTTTATTCCAGGTGTGTGTGCTGGGATCATACCTCGTTCGAGGCGCAGGACATAACCTCGGGGAGGCTCAGAGTGAACTTGAGAGCGAGTGAGTGGTCCTCTGGGTTCATGTCTCCCAGCGATTCGCTGACAGCTTCACCACACATTACACGCGCGTTACGTGTAAGATACGGTTATGTCCGTACGGAATACCCATCCATCCATCCATCGAACCCCATTTGCACCAAGAAACGCTACGCCTCAGACATTTGCCGTCCATCCTTGGGCATCTCGGGAACCCAGTGAATAACGCGGAAAGGGTTCACTCAAACCTGGAAAGGGTCCCTTTCTCGTCCTCTCCGTGGCTCCCCTTCTTGCTCATTCTGTTCCTCTTTGGTCGAACCGTATCTTGGTTGGATCATGGATCATTGGATGGTCCCCTCCCCCCTTGTGTCTCCTTAAAAAAGGGTCCTGTCTTCGGGCCCGCGGATCGCTGTTCGCGCGCAAAGGGTTCCAGTTTCCAGTGCATCAACCCAACGGCGGCCATGTGGCTGATGGTCCAATACCAGTAAGGTAAAGCACAAAGAGGAGGGGAGCCGGGGATCACCTTACGGCTCGGTGCTAGGCATGGTCAACTGGCCAGAGGAAGTTGGAGCGACGATGAGCAACGCCAAAAAGAAAAAAAGAGGGTCTCGGCCGGGATGCCGGGCTCTCGGCAGTGGCATCTGGTGGTAAGTTTTCTGGGCATTCACACATGGGATAGGGAGTCGCCGTTGCACAAGTTGATAGGGCGGAGCAGGGGAGCAGGGGTGATGGGCACTGCTAGCCTGTAGGTTGTTTAATTCGATAGTGTCCGTATGTGTCCTCAGAGTCAGGCATCGCCGATTTTGGCACTAAATGCGTTCCCGTTTGGTGGCTGTACTGCTATACAATTCGGTATCCCGCACTTGAAGACCGGATATGGACAGTAGTGCCAGACTCTCGTTCAACGGCACAACGGTCATACCGATTGTGTACGCAGTAGTGAATCATTGTGTGTTATATGTTTCCCTGCGCCGTCTTTGAACGGGACAAGGCTTCTGGGGTGGGTAGGACGGCACCAAAAGACCGCAAAGCCAAGAGGCCAAGGTTTTCCTTCCCTCTTGGCAAGCGTACGCGTCCACCATCAAAAAGCGTTAGGACATCTGCAGCTCCTCAGCTCCTCAAAGCTCGGCACGGCGGTTTGGCGAACAAATGGGCAGTCTCACACGCTCATTCAGTGAGTGGGTGGTGACTAGAGATCCATTGCCGAGCCCGTTGGGACGGCACGAACGGGGTTTGGAGGATGCACTTGATACACTGTTGTTCTTTCTCCCTCTGGGGCGATTGGGGACATACAAGACCCCTGAAATGGATCACCTGGTCAGTCATATGAACAACAGGCCGCAGCAAACATAAAGGAGGGCGATGCTCATGCGGTTTCCTATCGTCTTTGATTAACGATGTTTTGATTCATCGCTGTGGCTGTGGTTTGATACCGCACAGAAAGAGCCTTATGACTCGTTTCTCTTTTTTTCTTCTTTCATTCTCTTACTTGTTTGTCCGCAGAACGAACAGCTCAGCCCACTCGATATTTCATTTGCATGAAATGACCCTGTATCTGTACGTACAAGCGAGGCAATTCTGCATTCTGCACTGCAGAAGCGCATTTGTGAAGACATCCAATATGCTCGGTAGTACCAGACAGGACGGACATGCAAAGAGGTGGCATTAAAGTACAAAGGCAAGGACCCAAGGAAAGACATGACACGGTGACACAATCTTTCTTTAGCTTTTTTGGCTGGTATTTTTGCCATAGGCGGTTAGACTCAACCGTTTTTTCTTCTTTGGCACGTTAATTAATAAAGGATAGAAACTTCGATTTGCAGGGAAGAGAGCTTCAGGTGGGAGGGCCTTACCTTGAGGTACCTTACGGAGTAGATACGTACAATCCAGACTAAGCCAGATTGGGGTCCGGAAACGCCATGTTTAAACCGGTCGGGTGGAGAGGGGCGGACAGGGCGGAGCGCGGGTGCGGCGAAGCGGCGCAGCTCAGGAGCACACACACTCACTGCGGTAGGCCGCAGGAGCAAAGTCAGCAACAGGTGAAGTTCGAGACGTGCTTCATGTTTACTGTCTATGTTTCTCTGGCCTGCCACTTTCACCTCCTGCTGCTGATCAGCCTGGTCTCTCACCCTCTCGCCCACCCACACACACACGCACATGTCATGCCTACCCTGAGGTATCTTTACCTTAGGAAGTAAGGTCACTCACACTGAGAGCAGCTCTGGGACCTTAGGATAAGGTAGGGGCCGACGGAGCCCCATCTTGAACCCCTGCCTACGGATATTCTTTTGGTAACCGGATAGGTTGCCCTGGACCCTACCTTAGCCTGGCGCCCGCCCTACCAGGTCTGCAGAGCTCTGCAGCAAATGTGTGCCAATCACTTGCCTCACTCAATCAGGTGTTTCTCCAGGACTCCAGATATCCGTACTCTCCCGTCGTGTCCTCTCTCAGACTCTCGCCTAGCACTTGCCACAATGCGATCTTCGAGGTCCTTCTACTTCCCCGCCGGCGAGCACCTCATCACCTTACCTTGTAAGATGGCCCGCCTCACGATCCGTATCGAGACACAGAAAATGGCCAATCTAGTCGTACATTGAATTGCAATCACTAGGTAAGAAGGTACGCAGTATACCAGGAAATGAACTATTAGCTTGAGGCCTCCTACCGAATTCGGATAGACGGCAGATGGAGCCGAGTGAGTTGAAACCTCATTCAGCCGTTACGACCACCCGGTGGCCTCGGCCAAATAAACTCCAGGGCGGTTGTTTTCATTCACTGAATCAATTGCACTCATGACTGTGACTCTCGTCCAAAGTCTGAGGTGAAAATGGGAGGGATCCTGAAGCAGGCACCCCGTACTCCGTACTCTGTACCCCTACCTTACCTGAGCTGCGACGGGGGCGGGCAGCTTTTCGTCCAACGATCAACCTCAGTTGCCGGCCCGTTCCTTCTCTGACCGGCCTGGCCCAATCTCTGGTCTGCGGTCTGATGATTTGATGTGTGAGGTCGGGTGTGAGGTATGAGGTGTGAGATGTCAAGGTCGGATTCCGTGTCTTCAAAGCTCGGCTCTCTGGGCATTCTGCGCCGCCGGGAGGGAACCCATTGGAGCCCTCACACAATCACGCCGCACCAGGCAGGAGCACCTCACTTCACCTCACCTGCCTTACCTGAGGTATTACAGGCTTGCAGCACTGCGTGTCCGTGAAATAGACGCCTCACACACTTCTATTATTCACGCGCCCGCTACCCACGCCCAAGCCCAAGCACACGTCTCGCACCCCAGAATTAACCTGCGAAGCATCCGGCGATCCACTCGAACCGCTGTCGCTCTCCGCAGACTGCAGTACAAGTGCCCAAAAGTCTTGTCCAAGGACCATAAGGTAGGCATCTCGCGTGGACCGTCCACCAACCCGACCGGGCGCCCATCTCGTCAAATCTCCTTGGCTTTTCCCCATCCCGCTTTCCTCGCTTGGAACCTTCCCGTTGTCCGCCCGCTGCCATCTCCTCTTTCCCATACCTTACCTTGCTCCGTACCTTACGGATACTGCTCATCTCCCCTCCAGACTCCAGGGCTCCCTCCTTGACCGCCCATCAGAATAAAAAGGAAAAGGGCTGACGAAGCGTGCCACGCTGTTCAACACGTTTTTGCCCCTCTCGCAGCTCTTTTCTCGGCCCTCTGCCGTCTCTTCCGTCCCTCTCTCTCAGCTCCTGCGCTGTTCCTACCTTACCTTACACCAACTCACCTCACATACGGGATATCCCACTTGCGTTACCTGAGAGATACTCCGTACCAAGTCTACCAACCTTGCTCTGCTACCTTACCGTACAGCCTAACCGAACAACCGAACCGAAAGATAAACCATGTCTTTCTTCAAGAAGCTCACCAAGGAGTTTGAGGAACTCAAGACCTCCTTCTCCGACGACAAGCCCGCCGAGAAGAAGGACGATCAGCATCAGCAGTACCAGCAGCAGCAGCAACAACAGCACCACCAGCAACAGCCTCAGACCGGTAAGTGAAGAGAAAAATCCCTCTCAATCTCTCCTCTCACTGCCTGTTACACCAAAACAAACGAGGGGAAAGAGGACAAAGTCTCCAGATTTGTTACTGAACAGTCATAAATCATGTACACGTCCCCTCATACCTTGTCACAATAACCCTGCCTATTTCAACGTCTTCCCTTAACCGAACCATCATCTGTATTCTTTGCCTCTCGATACCATCTAGATCTAAACAGATCTACCATCGTCGTTACGTTAAGGTTACTGACTCGCGCTTCTTATTCACACAGGCGAACGCGGCTTCGGTGATCAACCGCAGCAGCAACAATACGGCGGCTACGGTAGCGGCGCTCCTCCCTCTAACTACCCTTACCCATCGCAGGCACAGCCCGGTTACGGCGGCCAGCCCAGCTACGCCCAGACGCCGCCTCCGGCTCCCCAGTCTGCCGCGCCCCCCATGGCCGCTCCTTCCGTCTCCAGCGGCTGGTTGGTCCAGTGGGACACCAACAACAACCGCTGGTTCTACGTCGACCAGAGCACCGGCCGTTCCCAGTGGGAGCACCCGTCCCCTCCTACCGGCGGCCAAGGCGGCTCCTCCTACGCCCCGCCTCCCGTTCCCCCCCACCCTTCCTCCGACACTAGAGCCTTCGGCGACCAAGGTTCCGGCTACGGCTCACCCGCTCCGCAGTACGG